TTTGAGTGTGTATTGCAGAATATTAATCACAAGAAGAAAAGCCACAGTCCTTGGGAATCACACTGGGTTTTACCCAGATTGGCAGAGTCCCTATGATGGTGTCCGGTGCCATCACTGCAACCCCATGTGACAGAATAGACCTGCCCCATAGGCTTACCTAGACTGTCATTTCTTATGTCACTTTGTTAAGTCCCATCAAGTCAGTTTCAACTCAGCACCCTGTACTGGGTTTCTGAAGAGTGGCTGGTGCGTTTGAACTGCCAACCTTGAGATTTAAATTGACCTTGTGGTCCAGTACTTAACCCCCATTGCCACACCAGGACTCCACTAAATACTGGTATATACTTTTATATATCATTGACTCACAGCGCCCTCATGTGACAGAGTAGAACTGCCCCACAGGGTTTCCTAGGCTGTCATCCATTGTGTCACTATAGATTCATATACACCTTTTTTTTTAAGGTTTTTATCATGGATTGAGTGAAAGTTTACAGGGCAGATCATCATTTGTATATACTCATATATATCATCGACTCACAGCGCCCCTGTGTGATGAAGTAGAACTGCTCCATAGGTTTTCCCAAGCTGTCATCTATTGTGTCACTATATACTCATATATCATCGACTTACAGCAGCCCTGTGTGACAGTAGAACTGCCTCATACGGTTTCCTAAGCTGCCATTTAGTGTGTCACTATGTACTTGTGTATGGGCTCCTGGCATAGCACTGTTGGTTAATGTACTGGACTGCAAGGGCCATTTGAATTGCAGGGTCGGCAATTCAAGTTCACCAGATACTTCTCAGGAAACCTATACAGGGTATCTGTGAGTCAGAACCGATTCCATGGCACTTAACAACAACAACAACAAATACTCGTATATATCCTTATGTATTATCGACTCACAGAGGAGAACTGCCCCACAAGGTCTCCTAGGCTGCCATCTATTGTGTCACTATATACTCATATATATTCTTCTTTATCATTGACTCACAGCGCCCCCTGGTATGACAGAGGAGAACTGCCCCACAAGGTCTCCTAGGCTGTCTGCTTTATGGGTAGGAGGTCTTGTGGTGTGGTGACTAAGCATTCAGCTGTTAACCTAAGGGTCAGCAGTTTGAATCCACCAGCTGCTCCCCAGGAGAAAGATGAGGTGGTCAGCTTTCAGACAACCTCAGAGATCCTATATGGTCACTAGGAGTTAGAATGGTCTCAATGACAGCAGCTTTTGGGATTTAGTCCTCACAAAGATCTCCAGAGCTTTATCCTACAAAGCCCCTAGCTGAGTTCAGACCACCCAATTTACATCCCCCGGTTTCGTTAGAGTCCCTCTAGGTCTGAACGTAAGATTACCAGAGCACCAGATGTGAGTCCCGGTGTAGTGCTGCAGAATCAGCACTAGACTGCTCTCTGCAAGGTTGGTGGTTCAAAACCTAGCAGCCACTCCTCAGCAACCCTATACAGAGTCATTATGAGTCAGAACCAACTCAACGGCAGTCACCAAAAAACTGGGTAAAGTAGTTGTTGTTAAGTGCTGTCAAGTCGGTTCCAACCCATAGTGATCCTGCACAGGGTTTCTGAGGCTGTAAATTATTACAGGAGCAGAAAGCCTCATCTGTCTCCCACGAAGCAGCTGGTAGTTTCCAACTGCCGACCTTGCGGTTCGCAGCCCGATTCATAACCACTATGCTACCAGAGCTCCTGGGTAAAGTAGAGAGTCAGGGAAAAAGAGGAAGAGGCCTAACTAGATGGACTACAAGAACAGACTGAAACAGACGATTGTGAGGACAGCACAGGACCAGGCAGTGTGTCCTTCTGTTGTATACAGGGACATTATAAGTCAGAACCCACTCAACAGCCCCTAAAAACGACAACAAAATGGATCAGGGAATTTGGTTAAACATAAATGCAGGCACATTGGTGGGCTCTCCAGACCCCTCCTCTGGATGTGTCAGAAGTCCTGGAGCTACTGCTTGTAGTGAGGTGGTCTCACTTTGTGACAATGAGACAGAAAAGGCAAGCAAAGATGCAGCTGCAGGAAGGTGGGAGCAGCCTCCCCCGAGCCTTCACCACGCTGCCTGGGCTGAGTGGATCCGAGAAAGAAAGGCTCAGCACTGTCCCACTTCCTTGAACATCCTTGTGGGGTAAAGCTGGTCCCCGTCATGGGGACAGACGGAGCTGCTGTTCCCAGCGCCCTTGGTTAATCATCCATACTTTCCACCCTGTTTAGGACAAAGGCTGCAGCGGTGGCAGCAGCGTCCACTGTACAGCCCTCTTGGGTTGACTGACTATTAATCCTGAAAGATTGGGCCAAGTCCTGCTACCTTAACCTGAAGCTTTGTTTTTGTTTTTGTTTGGGGGACATAGCCAATTGCAGTGGGTAGGAGGGAGACAGGCTGTAGGGCGGGGCACAACTCCCCGTGTGTTTCACGAAGAATGAACAAAACTCTCTTCCCTTGATTGAACGGTTCCTTTAAAAAAAAAATCATACTCTCCTTTTCCTCCCGTATATTTATTTTTATTGTGGTGAAAACACACTTAACAAAACACACGCCAGCTCAACAATTTCTGCATGTACAGTCCAGTGGAGGGTGAGACTTTGTCTCACGTAATTTGGACGTATTGTCAGGAGACCCCAGTCCCTGAGGAAGGACATCATGCTTGATCAAGTAGAGGGTCAGTGACACAGTGGTTGTTACAATGGGCTCAAGCATAGCAAACGTTGTGAAGCTGGCTGGGCTGTTTGCCATTCTGTTGTGCTTGAATTGGAAACCAAGTCAGCAGCACCTAAGAACAACAGCAACACAACTCAGTGGCATTGATGACACTTTTTGTTTTGTGATAAACACTTTTAAGTAAATGGAAAGTTAGCAAATAGGAGGAAGGCTATAGAAAGGACGGTGTAAGAGATCCAAAGACAAAGGTGCTCGTGTTGGACCCACACAAGTGTCTGTAAGTCGTTCAGTTCTGCGGTTGTGTTAAAGGTACTGACATTGTGTCCTCTTACTGGTAACTGAGACCCCATTCTAATTACAGTGAACAAGCAGACACACAACCTATGTACTAAGTTGAGTTGTTGTTGTTAAGTGCCTTTGTGTCGGTTCCGGTTCATAGCAACCTGATATAGGGTTTCCGAGGATTTTTAATCTTTGCCAGAACAAAAAAATCTCATCTTTCTTCCACAGAGAAACTGTTGGGCTCTAACCACAGACCTTGTGATTCACAGTCCAGTGCTTATCACATGAGCCACTATGCTCCCAATGAGCACAGTAGATATGGCTTTAAAAAAAAAAAAAGTGTAAGCGTTTTTCATTACAAATTAAAAAGTAAACACACATAAGCCCATGGTGGGATTGTAAATTTGAAGAGATTCCATAAGGTTCTATAAGTAGATGCTTTGGAGTTGGAAGAGACAGATGTTAACCTTACCTAGAAGCAGAATCTTTGATGGATAAGAGAACGTGAAATTGTGCACTACAAATTAGTAAGTAAGCACAAGTAAGCCTGCACGTAACTTGCTTACTGAATAATCTGATGCTGGGAGCATTGGCTGGGAATCCAACCCAGGTCACATATATAAAAGGTGAAAATTCTTTACATTCCTCTCCAGTTTTAACCAACACAGTAACCCCATATTTGTCATTGCACCTCATTTTGTTTCTCAGTGTCATTATCACTGACCAATGCTCTTATAGCTTTATGTTGTTGTTGTTATGTGCTGTGGAGTCGGTTCCGACTCATAGCGACCCTGTAAAGGGTTTCTGAGGCTGTAAATCTTTACAGGAGCAGAAAGCCTCATCTTTCGCCCACGGAACAGCTGGTAGTTTCGAACTGCTGACCCTAAGGTTCGCAGCCTGATTCATAACCACTAAACTACCAGCATTATGGTGATCATTTTTAACATATGTATACTACTCTCTGAGATAGCTCCATAGATGTATTTCTAACATAATTTATTTCCTTCACATTTTTTCACTTGTGAGATTTCAGCGCAACACAGCATGGGCACTTTTTGGTTTGATAGATTCTACAAAACTGGATTATGCCAATTTGGTATGAATAAAAGAACATACGAGTTCTCCAGCTGTTTCAGATCAAAATGTTATCTCATTGGTATTTTTCATTTCATTTAGATAAGTGAAAAGTCCCAGAGGGCTGCTCCAGGGACTCTCTCCAACCAGGGCGCTCTCCATCCCTTCTGCTTTTCTCTGCACTGGCTTCATTCTCAAGCTACAATGCCCTTGTGGCAAGCAGATTAGCCCTCTCCAACTCTTCTTTCTAGACCAACATCCATATCTATCCCTCCAAGAGAACGTTTACTTGATCATGCATGGATTCCAGGCCTGCCTTTAAACCAATCAATGAATGGGTCCAGGGAAATAAGATTTTCTGATTGGCCTACTTGGGTCACGTGACTTCCGTGAGCCTTCACCACACGGATTGGGATTACCCCTGAATTGATTCTGACTTGGTAATGCTTGCTTGTCAAGAGTTAACTCGCTGGCACCTTTGTTGTTGTTAAGTGCTGTCCAGTTGGTTCTAATTTATAGGCACCCTGTATATGGTTTCCAAGGAACTGCTTGTGGGTTTGAACCACAGAACTTGTGGGTAGCAGTCCAGTGCTTACCCTACAGCACCACATCAGGACTCCTTTAAGGAAACTTTAATGAAAGCATGGCTCAGCTGTGTGGCTGTTGGGAAGGTCAACTTCATATCCTTCCCTGACAATTTGGAGGCTCTGAAACTGCCCTAGTGGTATAAACATCGGTTGGCTATCTTTTCTCGAACATGATGTATGACTGTTTGCAAGGGTGTCAGATAATCATGACCCAAAGGGAGATTGCCTGATGCTTGCAAGCTAGTCTCTTAGATTCAAGAAACATTATCAGGGTTCTGATGGGATTTCACGATGCTCCAGGGCTCACCGTTGCAAGTCAACTTCAGGTATGGAGTGGTTCCCTGGTCCCTGCTGCTGCTGACCCTGTTTTCTGCTCCCCCACAGGGCATTTACAGCTGCATTCACGGGGTGCACATTGAAGAAAAGAAGAAGTCGCCGGATTTCAACCTGACCGGCTCCCAGAGCAACATGTTAAAACTCCTCCGATCAGCCAAAAACATTTCTAACATGCCCAACCTGAACTCCTCAAGAATGGATTCACCCAAGAGAGCCACTGACTTCATCCAAAGAGGATCCCTCATCATGGACATGGTTTCGGATAAGGGCAATTTGATCTATTCAGACAACAGGTCCTTCCAGGGGAAAGACAGCATTTTTGGAGACAATATGAATGAACTCCAAACATTTGTGGCCAGCAGGCATAAGGATAACCTTAACAACTATGTGTTTCAGGGCCAGCATCCTTTAACCCTCAACGAGTCCAACCCCAACACGGTGGAGGTGGCCGTGAGCACGGAATCCAAAGGGAACTCAAGACCCCGGCAGCTTTGGAAGAAATCCATGGAGTCTCTACGCCAAGACTCCCTCACCCAGAACCCTGCCTCCCAGAGGGAGGAGGGCACAGTAGAGAATAGGACCCACTCCCTAAAGAGCCCCCGCTACATTCCAGAAGAGGTGGCCCATTCAGACATTTCAGAAACTTCGAGTCGGGCCACATACCACAGGGAACCTGACAACAATAAAAACCACAAGACCAAGGACAACTGCAAAAGGTCAACGGCTTCCAAACACTCCAAGGGCTGCAGTGAGGCAGACCGTAGCTACGTGAAAACCAAAGCCAGCTCCCCCAGGGACAAGATCTACACCATTGATGCAGAGAAGGAGCCCAGTTTCCACTTAGACCCTCCCCAGTTCATTGAAAATGTGGCCCTCTCCAAAAACATGGACTTCCCAGACCCCTATCAAGACCACAATGAGAACTTCCGCAAGGGGAATGCCACACTGCCCATGAACAGGAATCCCCACCACAACGAGGATGGGGCTCCCAACAATGACCAGTACAAACTCTACTCCAAGCATTTCACCTTGAAAGACAAGAGCTCCCCTTGCAGCGAGGGGAGCGACCGGTACCGGCAGAGCTCCACACACTGCCGGAGCTGTCTCTCCAACATGCCCACCTACTCCGGTCACTTCACCACGAGGTCGCCATTCAAGTGTGACGCCTGCCTGCGGATGGGGAACCTGTATGACATCGATGAAGACCAGATGCTCCCGGAGACAGGTAACCCAGCCACCCAGGACGAGGTCTACCAGCAGGACTGGGCACAGAACAATGCCCTGCAGTTCCAAAAGAGCAAGCTAAGGATTAGCCGCCAGCAGTCCTACGATAACATCCTGGATAAACCCAGGGAGCTAGATCTCAGCAGGCCCTCCCGGAGCATAAGCCTCAAGGACCGGGAACAGTTCCTGGAAGGAAACTTGTACGGGAGCCTGTTTAGTGTCCCATCCAGCAAACTCTTGGGTAACAAAAGTTCCCTTTTCCCCCAGGCCCTGGAGGACAGCAAGAGGAGCAAGTCTCTCTTGCCAGACCACTCCTCCGACAATCCTTTCCTCCACACCCACGGGGATGGCCAGCGCCTAGTCATTGGCAGATGTCCCTCCGACCCTTACAAACACTCGCTGCCCTCCCAGGCAGCAAACGACAGCTACCTTCGTTCGTCCTTGAGGTCAACGGCTTCCTACTGTTCTAGGGATAGCCGCGGCCACAGTGACGTGTATATTCCAGAGCATGTTTTGCCTTATGCTGCAAACAAGAATAATATGTACTCTACCCCCAGGGTTTTAAATTCCTGCAGCAATAGACGCGTGTACAAGAAAATGCCTAGTATCGAATCTGATGTTTAAAAAATCTTCCATTGATGTTTTATCTATAGGGAAACATACACAGTTGCCAACATTCTGGAGGGCAAAAAGTTGGATGTCCAATAGTGCCCTGAGAAGAAGAAGAGGATTATGGGAGGGTTTTTTGTTTTTCGTGGTTTTTTTAAATTCTTCTTCTTTCTGTTGGCTTTTTGCATATGGCTCCATGCCATAGTCTTCCACTCAAAGAATCTTGTGAGTGTATGCTGAGCATGTCAGAGACAAGATAGGCAAGTCCTCAACCAAAAATAAAAAAAGTGTGGGGGAGTGATGAGGGGCGAGGGCAAGTCTCCAGGACCGGCCCACTAGGTATGTTGGCCATACAGTGATGCGTTGGAATGCCTATAGTGATGCCTGTGATTTCCTATACTCCAAATCCCATTCACATCAGCCCACCGTGTAATGTCCCCATCAGACATGCCTAGCGGTTCCTCGTCTTCAGAATAAGCAATATGGTATGCATGTAAATCTGACACAGACAAAAATAAAACAGTGAAGAATGCATTTGCTCCGTAATGAGATTGACACGTGCAAGAGATTAGGAAGATTGGCTTGTAATCATTTTCAGCTTTACCATTGAGCCTTCCATCACAGCCCCGGCCTAACCCCAGAACTCCAGGCTCCCCCAAAGACTAGCTAACCTGTCAGTGTGTTCAGGGTAACCATGTTCCTTTCAATAGCTTCTGTCCCCAAGACCTATCTGGAGGACAAGGCCAGAGGGACCCTCAGGTGGAGATCGGCAAGAACTGTCTTTGGATGTCGGTGTTATGTTTGCTTCCCAGACTCAGATCTTACCCTCAGCTTCGGCGGTCTCTTTCACAGCTGCGTAAACTAGCACATTCTTGTCTTCGATATCTGTGTGTGGATCTTCTGTCTCAGACAGTAGCCATTGTAGATTATCCTGAAGACTCCATGTACGTAAGTTTGTGTCTCCCCTTATGGTGATGACTCAGGGCTGTATAGTATCTGTTACCCCCTCCCTTCCCCACGTGCCCACCAGTCATGTCGTCCCGAGCAGCCATGGTGGCATCTAATTAACTGTGTGTTGATGTTGTCCCAACCTGTCAGTGTGGTGACTTGAACCAACAGCCATGTGTGTACTGTAATCCAACAGTAGTATCATGCCCTCTGTCTGCTGAAGACTAGCTGAGTATTGGTGTTTCTTTCGTAACCTCACGAAATGCAGTTGGACGCCACCATTTCCAGCCCAACTTCCTCTAAAACAAGAAGGTCTAACACCTTTCTGCTGAGCATCCTTCCAGTTGTGGGTCATTTTCATTGGGGCCAGGGGTTTCCCTCTGAAATATCGACCCTCTTGGAAGGGACTATGCCAGCCACACCAACAGAGATATGTGAAGAGTTCTACAGACATTTGTCATTTCTGGAACCTATCTGACCCCAGTTTTCTTCTACGCACACTCATGCCTACACGATAGAAAACATCACTCATTAAAAACGAGAAGCTGTGAGCAGAGGGGCAGTATTTATGAAAGTGGAGGTGCCCTATTGAAAGCCCGGGAACAGTCATCCCAAGTGACTATGAGTGACATCCAGGGACTCCTTTGAGTCTTTTAGAATTTCCCACCTTTGCTCTCCCATTGCATTCCAGAACTATCTTTCTCTCTGGCAGGATCAGCTCTAGTCCATCCCAAAACTGGTATGTCTTAACATGAAATGAATTCTGAAGTCTCCCCACTAAAACAGAGCAGTGGCATGCCATCAACTCAGGGAGGTCTCCTGCCTTCCGCTGCTGTTCTCAGCACCCAGGGTGCTGCCAACTGCTACAGAGACCTCCAGGGAGAATTGGATTGATTCTCTAGACAAAAAAGCCGTTGCCCGGAAACAGCGTTATTTCTCTATTAATCCCATGGTGGTGGTGGTTATATGCTGTGGAGTCAGTTCTGAATCATAGCGACCTGTATAGAGGTATCCAAGGCTGTAAATCTTTACATGAGCAGAAAGCCTCATCTTTCCCCCTTGGAGCAACTGGTAGATTTGAACTGCTGGCCTTGCTGTTAGCAACACAGCTCATAATCTACTACGCTACCGTGACTCCTTCATTAACCCCATACTTCCCTGGATAAAGAAATCTGTGGCTACTGTAAGATACTAAGAAAGTGCATATCTCTCTTAACTTCCACCGTGCTCTTTAGAAGGAATTATCAGAAACTATGTGGTAGTTCCCTCCTCCATAAAAATCATTGACTCCAAATTGTTCTGTTATTACCCCAGACATCATAAAACCAACCATTGGATCCCATGGTCAATTTCTAAGAGAAAGGAAACCGTGCAGCGCAATTCAAAGAGCATCTGAGTCAGCTCAGCTCTTTGTCAGAGACTGTCAGGAACACGATGTCCCAGTGTCAACAGCACCTGCTGTGTGCTGAGTGATGAGAATGAAATCGCAGATCCCCACCCATGGGTCCACTAAAGAGGGCTCTTGTGACACAGGCACCTTTGAGATCTTGGATTTGTAGATGCTCAGGAGCCAGAATCTCTGAACCCAGAGTGTGTGCTCCTGCTTCCTCTGGTTCAAGGCAGAATTGACTTGCCTGAGTGATTTTTGGTGAACTCTCAGTGGTTTTTCTTCCTCATTTGGGAAGCAGCCATCGGGTGATTCTCTGATAGGTATACCCAATGGCAGATTGTCAGGTTTCTGACCCTGGGTAAATGTCAGACAGGAATTCTGCACCGGGAGCCTCTAACCCCTGCCATCAAGTACACACTAACTCATGGTGACCCTATGGGTGTCAGAGTACAACTGTGCTCTGGAGGCTTTTCAGTAGCTGACTTCCTTTCCTTTCTTTCT